TTCAAGACAATGAAAGAAGCAAAATTTGGATACCAGTAAAATATCACCATTACCATTTGAAGTTGCTCTAATTTTTTATTCTTTTCTTTCAGTACCGAATTTTTTGATAACATAAGTGTTAATTCCTCTGGAGACAACAATCATTTAAAATGACAGGCACATGTATATATATAAGATTGAGGTTTCTAAGGCCTATATATGACTTTTTGGGGGGAAAAAAAGAAAGAAATGTGTTGACAACTCAAGTGTAACTTTTACAAACTGGTTTCCTTATCAGACACGTATGTCCCACACATGGACAAACAGCACTGATGCCCGAGATGCACCTCCTTTCACCTAGCTCAGTCGGCTTGGACATTTCCTGTACCAAAAGTTACTCCAGGCAAATCTGACCTTCTAGTAAGACCCCTCACCCTCCAGCATCTCCTCAAAGTATCCCTTTTTCCTAAAGAGAAGGAAGGGAACAGCTTTCTAATGTAAGACAGGGGAAGGAAACAAACACCTGCTGAGGTTTTCCTAAGTGTCTTCCTAGATACTTCGCCTCCAACAGCTCAGGATTCCATGCAGGCTGCATTGTCTTCTAAAGACAGCTCCTTCCATTGCTCAGAAAAGGAGGGAACTGACTTCCTAGTTCACTTTAGCTGTCCAGGACAACTGTGTACTTCATTGAAAGATATGATAAATGTTGTTTGATAGAAGTAAGATTAAGGAAAAAAGCAAAGTCATCTGATTTCATTTGGCTTAACGAAAAGAAAAATGTGCTCTACCACATACCAACAAACCAGATCAATGCACAACAAGCTGCAAAACTTTAATACAATATGGTTAAACACAATATTCAAATATTAAACTTTCCAAGCACATGAAGATCATCATCTGAAAGGCAAACTGGGCTTTTTCTTGTAGATACCTTTGTGTAACTATAAAATATTTCCCTCAACTATGTCTGACACTGATCTTGATACTTATTAGAAAGTCTGATGATATTAGGTAATGACATCTCAACCATCAGAGACTCAGGAGATCACCCCAATGCCCATCTTCAGAATTCCTCATTCTTCATCGGAGGACAGAGCATCATCTTCATCCCTTACTTCTCGGTACTTCCTCAAGGACTCCCCTTCTGGATTGTAACTCTGCATTTTAATATTCAGTTTTTCTGCTAATTTTTGTGCTGCGAGCTTTGCTTGCATCTCCTCAAAATTCTGTTTTTGCTGTCCCTGAAGTGCCAAAGATTCTTCTATGGTCAGCAGCTGTGTGGGCAGATGGTGCAGCAGCAAGAGCCATGCTGCCATGATGTCATCAAGATGCTGCCTGTCCCTGTGTCGCCGCTCCTCAGATGAGACAGGAGACTCTCCCCTCTGGCAGTGACCAGGTGAGCCACTGTCCTGTGACGGTAACACATTGGTTTTAAACTTTTGTGGTGGGGGCACTGGGTTTTTGGCTCGCATTTCTAGCACTTCCATGTAATGAGGCCTCTTAGGAGGCCCATTACAGAGGCTCATCAAGGTTTCTGTGCTTGCTCCTGAGTGGTGTTCACCTTGGTCTGCAATCATGATCCTTTGCAACTTGTCAATAAACAGGTTGTCCGAGACGCTGGAAATATCCTCTGTGTGACGTGAACCACAATGCTGCGGGAGATGCTCCGCATCCTCTGTTGGGGAAAGTGTCCTGGCCCTGCTGTTGGAAGCTGGGTGCTGGTTCACAGTGTGCTCAGCCTCTGGAGTCTTTTCACTGTCTTTGTGAGTAGGATGCACAAATCCCTGCTTTTCTGAAGTTGTTTTGGATGACTTGATTTTATCTACAGGGGAACAGCCAGGAACTAGTGATAAAGTATCAAGCATCTGGTCAGAACTTGGGGTCTTATCTATGTTCACATCAACTTCTGCAACTGCTTTTTGCCTTAGCTCAAAGTCTACACTAACAGGGTAAAACAGTTCACTTTTTCCTCTGTCCTCTTCACATTCTGCAATGGCAGCTTTCAGTTTGGCAGCGGTGTCTGAGATCTTTTTACCTTTGTCGGGCAATTTGCAAATGAATTTTTCATTGCACAAAAGTCTCTCCCGGTGCCTCAGCATCTCCTCGAGAAATTATTTCTATTTCATTTTTTCCAGATCCTCTTTCATTGCTAGTTCAGAGAGTCCAGGTGGTTGAGTATCAGAGCGTTCCATCTTGTTTCCCTTTGGGGTTGCTGTAGGCAATCTGGAAGTATGGTTCTGAGACTTATGTGTCTTCATTTCAACGGGGTGGGGGTGGTGCTGCTGGTGCCTGCATGACTCACCTCCTCTGTGCTGGGAGCAGTGGTAGGTTGGCCTGGAAGCCTCCTACTCTGCAGTGGGAGCTGTGACACGTTGACCTGGAAGCCTCCTCTGCACTGGGAGCTGTGGCACGCTGACCCCTGATCTGTCTGTTTTTAACAATGTATTGAGGTCCCCCCACTATGGTTATGTTTGTTTTTATATGATCTTTATATCCAGTAGTGTTTGTTTTATGAAGTTGGGCATAACATCTCTTCCTGTTGAATTATTCACTTAGCAAATATGTAGTAACCTTCTTTTCCTCTTCTAACCAGTTTTGGGTTGAAATCCACTTTGTCTTAAATTAGGATTGCTATGCCCACTTTTTCCAGGTTTCTGTTGAATGGAATATTGTTTTCCATCCTTTGATTTTTCATCTCTTATTTTCTTTTTGAATGAAAAGTGTTTATTTTTTCTTTTGTTGTTGTTGTCTATTTCTTTGTTTTGTGTTTAGATTTGTGGGTGTTTATATTGGAAAGACTTTATTGCTAGTGTGGGGATTTCTTTAGTTTGCCTACTTTTCAATGATGTACTCTGGGTGTGGTTAACTACAATCCTTTGCTCCTGTCACAAAATCCAACCAGCTCTGTTAATTTTGGAGGAGAGGGTTCAGTGCAGTTGGCCTAACACTCAATTCTCCAGAAATGAACCACAGTTTTGTTAATGTCACGAAGGTAATCTGGGTATTGTTATATAGAGAAAACCCATTAATAGCAAAAATTATGTGCCCCTGGCAATATCATCCAAGACAAATTGGATATTGACATACCATAAGACCAATAATGTACCACCCTTAACTATGAAGAAATCTAAAATTAGAGCATAAACTATAAGACAACTGAGATATTGACATACAACAAATATGTATTAAACAACTGTACCTGCACTATTATACCTACACTATTAAAAAACAACTAAACCTACACTAATGATAGCAAAGAATTCAGCAGTAATAACAGAGTTAAGTAATTACCTAAAGTTTAAAAAGCTTAATGTGTATGCTATTAAAGGTATGGGGGTTGGAAAGGCAAACATGAAAGGGAAAAATTTGAAAAATTAAACAATGGGAGATAAAAAACAGGAGAGAGAAGACAAAGTATCCTATTAAGGAGTAGAAGGATATTTGTAGAATTAAATAAAAGTAACAAAAAAATGAGCAAAAGAAGATAAAAGGAAAAAGGAAGGAAAGGAGAAGAAAAATAATATGGAGAATGTTATGGAAAATTAAAAGGAAAAAACAAACAAGTAAGAAAATAAAGCAAGATAGAAGGCCAAAGGAAAATTCCCCAGACCCCCAATAAACTAAAGAAAAGGGAAGAGGACAGGAAAAAAAGTCCAAAAATAGAAAATTTCTATTTTTGAATGAGTGGATTTCTTCCTGAATCTCCAGTTTTGGAGTTCATCAATTCAATTTTCTCCACCTATCCTCATGGAGGATCCTCTGTATTCTAGAGGTCCATCTGTTTATCCTAGGCTGTACCAAAATCCAAACTGAGACATGTCCCCACTTGTACTGGTACATAAGTAAGGCAATGAGATCCCAGATATGTGCTGGATACAGGAAGTAGGGCAAGGGATCAAGTACTCAATGCCAGCATTTTCAGACCCAGTGCCTCACCTCCCACTGCAGAGGATGGGGCTCATGTGTTTCCAGGCATGAGCTCAAAGAGACCTAAGGGAAATCTCTTTCCTACCCACTCCTAGTCTGCAGCTGTCTCCCGTGGCTGTCTCACCCAGTGACTAACACTGGGGACCCTAAAGTGAAGGCATCCCCAGCTGTCCTGAGTTCCAGATTCAAATAATTATCCCCTTTTGGGAATGACACCTGACCAAGTACTCTGCAGTTGAACGCCTCTACTAGGATCCCTATCTGGTTGTTGCCAGCTGTGTTGAGGGAGTCAATTTGGAATAAAAGCCCACACCATTCCTGCAGATTGCAACAACCTGGAGCCCAAATCACCAGCCCAGTTCACTGCCACTATCTCTTTCTGAAGTCCTCAGCACTCACCTTGCTTCTACAGAACCATGCTTTCCTTCCCAGGAGCTGCTAGGCAGGAACCAGGGAGAGTCTAGACTGCTTCATTTTCTTCTCTGCATTGTGGTCTATCTCTCAAACGTCTCTGTAACTTTTAATTTTCTTGTTGGTTTTGTCCTTATTCCCTGTGATCTACTTCTTTTTTTTTTCTTCCTCAAGTTATTTTCCAGTCACCTAATTCTAAATCTCCAAGAGACTGAATTTTGCTGCCACTCACTACTATCTTGATTCCTTTGTCCCCATTAGCATTATTAAGGTCCCTTTTTAATCTTATGACAGTATTGGATTTGCTCTGTTTTGTCTCAGATTAGTATAGCCACTTGCTCTCTTTTGGGTATCATTTACATGAAAAATCTTTTTTTAATCCCTTAAATTTTACTCTATGTATATTCATAAGGGCAAATGAGTCTCCTACAGGTGGCTCATATTTGAGTCTTGTTTTTTATGTATTTAACCACTGTGGGTTTTTTTTTATGGTACTGGGGATTGAACTCAGGACCTTGCACTTTCGAGGCAGGCAGTGGACCCACTGAGCTAAATCCCTGGCCCCACTGCGTGTTTTTTATTAGTAAATGTGTCCATTACACATAAAGTAATTTTGGGTAGGTAAGAATTTACTATTGCCATTTTGTTAATTATTTTCTTGTTGTTTTAAAAATCCTTTTTACTTCCTTCCTTGTTTTTCTAAAAATAGTTTTCTTTAGTGGTATGCTTTGTTTCTTTCTCTAAATCTGTAGTAGATGTTACTGTGTGGTAGACATGATGCTTTCACAAAACATTTTGTGATTGTACCAGTTTTTTTAAGCTGATATCAAGTTTGATTGCATAGGTAAGCTCAACACTTTTAGTACTTCTCATTTTATATTTTTGATGTCACATTTCCTGTTATGGTTTAGACCTAAAATTGTCCCTAAGGCCTTATGTGTTTGGAAGATTATTGTATTATGGGGTCATCATAGCTGACTTGTTAGGAGGTGGTTCCTGGTTGTAAGAGGTGGGTCACTGTGGGTGTTACCTGGAGTGGTATATCTCCCTTCTATGCTCCTCCCTTGACTCTTTACTTCCTGTCTACCATGAAGAAGCTTTCCTCCTCCTGCCTTTCCACCATGCTCCCACACATATAAGGACTGAAACATGAGCCAAAATAAACCTTTCCTCCCTTTTACATTTAAAATTTTTTATTAGTACATGTTTGCAGTTAATAATGATTACATTTTTTTGTGGAGAGTTGGTACTTCTACATAACACATCATAATTCTTTTGAGTTTTTTTGAAGCAAATTTGTATATCCCCTTCCCCCTTAATTCTCTCCCTTCCCTCTTCCCTCCCTTCTGCCTTCCCCTCCCCCTTTCTTCCTTCTTCTTCTCCTTTCCATTTGTCTTCTTTCTTTCCCAAAACCCTACAGCACCCACCATTCCCAGGTGGTCTCCTATCCAAGTATAACCAAGGCTGAGCCTGCTTAGCTTTTGAGATGAGAGAGATTAGGCACATTCACATAGTGTAATCATAGACCTTTCCTCTTTTAAATTGCAGGTGTTGATTATTTTATCATAGCAACAAGGAAAGTGACTAAGACTGTTTTTTCCTTCTTTCCTCCTTCTACCCACATGGTACTGGGGAATCAACCTAGGGCCTTCTAATTGAGCTGCATCCCAAGCCCTTTTTAAAATTTTTGTTTTTAGACAGGGTCTCACTAAGTTGCCCAGGATGGGCTTGAACTTAAGATTCTCCTGCCTTAGCATTCCAGAAAGCTGGTATTACAGGTGTGCACCATCACACCTGACTTACATCAAGTTTTTGTAGATATAGTTTCAATATGTCTGTCTTTTAACCTTTATACTCATAATAGAATTATGAGTGATTCACACACTGCCCTTACAGCATTACAGTAGTATAAATTTGCCTGTACTCATGTCTATTGGTGAGTTTTATACTGTCATATTTTAGTAGCCCTTTACTATTTATTTATTTATTTTTTTAGGTTTCTCATGTAAGAGTAATTATGAGATATTAATGAGACCTTAAACTTTCAGATTCTGACTTATTTCACTATTTTGTGGTACTAGGGGTTATGGCTTATGTCTAGATGTACCCCCAAAGCCTCATGCACTTATATATGGGGCTTTTCGAAGGTGACTGGATCCTGGGTTTGTGATACTGAATAATATGTGTATGATACTGGGTCATAGTTACGTGACCCCTGATTACTATATTGATGGGTTTACGGTTGGCTGCAATGCTGGAAGGTAAAGCCTGGTGGGAAGAGGTGGGTCACTGTGGGTGTGACCTGGAGATATATGCCTTGAGTGTTCACTGCTTCTTGCCTGCCTTGCCATAAGCTCTTTCTTCTCTGCCATGCCCCTCTGCCATGCCACCTTGCCTTGGATTTATCCAACTATTAACTGAAACCTCTACAATATGTGAGCTAAAATAAACCTTTCCTTCTTTAAATTGTGGGTGTTGGGTACTTCATCCGAGCAATGAGAAAGCAACTGTATTGGAGACCCAGAGAGGAGAGAGACCATCTGAACAAGCATTGTGTGGGTAATGAGGCAGTTTATTCACTCTAGTGGAAGTGGGCTGAATCTGAAATGAGACTCAGCATAGAGCAGGCAGAGAAAAATAATTTAAAGGGAAGGGAAGGGGTTATTGCCTTGAGGAATTTGGAGGGCAGATAGAGTGAGGTCATTCCTCGGGATGGCTGGTGTCTAGTCTTGGTTCTTCTTTGAAGTTTCCTGTACTTCTG